GAAGTTGATGTACCCGTAATCTCTTTTACATAGTCATTCCACTGAAAAAAAGATTCCCTGAAGAATGATTCTTAAGATAGGCTGGTAAGACCATCCTTGTATAAAATAAATGGTATGTTTACTTCTGATAAATATGAAACTACTTTAGGAAAAAATAAAATGTGTAGTCTCCAGTGGCCAGACAATGGGAATGACATTGCCAGCGTTTCTTAAATGAAAGGAGTTTTTCTGTAAGACATTTAACTGGACTCCAGAATATTTAAATAAATGGTATTTCTTGAATGTGACAGGCATATTTGTAAAGGTACTAAGGATTTAGTAATCCCTCTTGATTTCAAGAATAACATCATTCTTGATCCAGTCATTGTGAGGTGTGAATGATTCTCTAGAGCTTTTGCAAAGGCCAGCATATATCTTTCAAACCACAGTGAGTTTTCCATTATCTCTCAGTAGATAATTAGTTCTGTGAATCATCTTCAGGGGCCAGGAACTCTCTCTGCTTAACATAGAAAATGATTAGCTGTGTTTGTATAAATGAATACATATACTCTGACTTCATTAACAGCCCAAAGTAAATGGTCTATGAGTGATTACATTTGTGTTTCATTGAGAATATCTGTACCTTTTCTCTCAGACACTAATATGAATGTACATATATACCCACACAGAGCTCAGAAGGTCTGTGTATTGTCCTATGTTGAAATTCACTGGTTTTGAATTACTTGCTTATCATTAAAAAAAGAACAACTATATTTTTATGAGTGGCTAAAGGACTTCATTTGTCTTTTATGTCAGGCTCAAGTCCCTCAATCAGTATTTAAGACCCAGCCTCTCCAACCAAACTTACTGTACCACTTTCCCAGAGTTTTTATCATTCTACCCATGCTTTTCATAGTTCAAGGCAAGATACACTCCTATAAACCCCTGGACTACCATAATCGGAGTGATAATAATTTTTATTTGCAACAAGTAAAAATATTCTGAAATTTCTTCTAAGCCTGGATCTTTCATAACTGTTCTTTGTCTTTTTCCTTCTTTCTTTGATAAATGTACTATTTTCTCTGTGTGTGTGTTCTGTGCACGATCAAGCAGCCTACTGTGTGGTACTTCAGTGGTTTCTACTGGATGCTTATTAACTGAATGATAGAACATAGAACTGGAATGAATGTCAATGATGTTCTGTTTTTTCAGCTCAACTCAGTAAATATTTCTTGGAATGTTTCTTAGATTAACTGCACAATATAAATTAGAGAGTTCAACATTGACTAGACAGTATTGCGTGTACTACCTGTCATGTGTTTTAAAAGTCTCCAATGGCCAGAGGATTCAATTACAAGTACTTTCAGAAAATATTATCATATGTCTCTAGTAAAACATTTCTGACATCATTGTTCAGGAAAAACCTTAGTATGAAAGTAGCAGATATAGTAAAGCTCATCATCATTATGTGTCTTTGCTCCTAAATTAAAAAAAAAAAAAGTTCCATTATGTTGACTTGACTTTGAAACTGGTGGGATTTTTACATGGTAATTGTAGGATTTTCTTTTTCTTCTTTTTTTAAATGTTAATTTAAAAAATGGCCTTAAGAAAGTTAAGGCTGGGGATATAGAAATGTATTCTATATTTTCCAAAGTAATTTCTGAAATTTGGAGTTCAAATTTAATAGGATATTATGGATAGATATGAATATTTGAGACCAGAGTATAAATTCCTATGTTTGGATGCAGTTACCTCTCAAAATATCTGGCTCCTTTTTCCAGTATATTGAACAAGCAGGTTTAAGAGTTTTCACATTGTTTGGATGTATTTCCACAAGGAAAAAAATCTATGTGCTTGCAGCTGAAATCTAGTAGAAATAATGTTGAATATCTGAGCCATGATTGACACAGGGAAAGTTCTAAGCCTTTGCTAATTAAGCATTATTTTGAAATTGTTCGAAAATATCTTAATGTCATCAGAGCAAAGTATTGTCAACAATATCTTCGGTATTTAAAAATATTAATGTTGTTAATATTTTATTTTCATCCCACATATGGCCATGTATGATTTTGCCATTAATGGTATTCTCTATTTATGAGCAGAGAGGGAGAGACAATCAGTGGTTGACAAAATAAATGCACAGACTCCAGGAAAGATGGAAGAGAGTGTGTAACAGCTGCACAAAGTGATCCCTCATAACTTAGAGATACTGCTTGATGCACAGTACACCATAATCATTAATAATAAACATTTATAATATAGTCTGCAGCCCTGAAAGGTTAAGATTATCTAAGGACCACATTGCCATCTTAAGCCTTTGTGCTTTATTTCTAAGGATAAGGCATCCAATACCTGGTCACACTAGACAACATTAATAAAACAAGGCAGCAGATAAATGACAACTATTCATGTAGGGTTCCTGGGGGGTCACAGAGTTTTCAACACAGCAGTGGAAGCTGTGATAGAGACTTCTGTAGGGCTTGAGCATGGATAAATGTAGATTTGGCTTCAAGTCGGTGGTCAAGGTCAACCTGAGAGCCTGGAATATAGAGTGTCTTGGGGTCATGGGTCAACCCTTCTTAGAAAGTTTGCTCTACTGAGAGAACAAAGGTAGGAACAAGTATATGGGACAAAAAAGGGGGCACACAGGCTGAAATCAATAGAAGCTTAAGATGGCAGGCAGGTAGACCAGAAGCCCAGAATGCTGTCAGGGCACCCTTACAAGGGAAATGCAAAGGAGAAGCCAGCAAGAGAATGGGTGAGAGATGGAAATTTCAAGGACAACTCTCTGGTGGTGGAGGCAGCCAGGAAGAAGTTACAAGTTTTCTATTGTTGGTGAACCACAGCTCAAGAATGTTTAGCTTTATAACTGTGTGGAATGAGAGGGAATTTCTGTTATAGTAGAGAAGGAAACAGAAGAGCTTCTGTGAAAATATTACATTTATCTGGGAATTTTATTAGAATTAGAAATGTACCATTAGTGCATGAGTGCACTTCTGATTTGTCAAAAAGTATAATGGTGAATTCTTAAACTTGTTGGGTATATTCAGGCAAACTTTTATGGCACTATAGTTTTAGAATAACTTCTCTTTTCAAAAGGTTTCAGGAGAAAAATATTTATCTGTAAAATCCACTAATGTGCCTCAATTCCTGTTAACAGTGAGATACTGGGAGTCATGATGTCTGATAGAAACAGTCTAATTCAGATGTCAGTTAGTCATTTTCAATTTACTACTTTTGTCTCAACATCTATGCTTTCTGGCTTTGCCTTAGCATTATGATTGCTGGGTATTAATATGCATTAAACTCTGCATACTGTTTCTTTTTAAATTTCTCTTCTGGACCCAGCTTCTCCAGCTACCTATAAAAATAAATGCTCTATGTTTAATATAAAATAATCTCCTGCACCTAAGAGTATTTCTGTGTGCTTTTCCTTATGCATACAATTTTTATAAAGTGATGACTATAAATTCTTAAGAAATTGATAAAGGTTTAGAAAGGACCAGTTATTCTAGTGAGTTTTTGTCATATTTCACATTGACCACATCCCTTCTCATTCTGGAAGTCGAGCTATTTATTTCAGCCACACCCAATGCTTACTTTGAATCCACTGGGTACAGAGACCTCTGCAGGCTGCTGTGGTGACATGCGAAAGGAGAGGGGCCTTGTGGTTCTGTGGGTGGTTACCTTCCGCACTTCTTTGGTAAAGCAGTAGAGTGGTAGAGAATTGGATAAGCACTTCTTTTTCTCTAGTCTTGTATTGTACCATTACCACATCGACCAACTCTGCCAGGGGAGCAGGCCCGTCCCCGTGGGACTCTGTAAGGTCATCGAAATTGGATGTAGAATGCATAATTGAATTAAAGAGCCATTTTAGATTTGCAGGTAAAAGAAGGTAGTGAGTCCCCATGTGCTTTTGTACTTCTCACCCGGTTGACGTATTTAGCAATAAAGGGATTTATTTGCAGGTACAATTTTCTCAGGGGTAGTCTGCAAATACTTTTATTTAGCCACTACTCTTTTTTATTTTTTAAAATATGTTTTATTGATATTTTACAGAGAGGAAGGGAGAGAGAGATAGAGAGCTAGAAATGTCGATGTGAGAGAATCATGGACCAGCTGCCTCTTGCACACCCCCTTCCGGGGATGTGCCCGCAACCAACGTACATGCCCTTGACGGGAATCAAACCCCGGGACCTTTCAGTTCGCAGACCGACGCTCTACCACTGAGCGAAACCGGTTTCGGCTAGCCACTATTCTTTATACAGACTTTGAGTTATGAGGTGACCTCCATCTCAGCAAGATAAATCCTGGCACCCAGTATCCAGCTAGCTTCATCTATGGCTGTGCAGCTGAAGTAGCTATGGAAATTTGTTTTCTTGAGAAGACAGGAGAGCCCCACTTCACACACTCAGGTTTCTGTGAGCAAGTTATAAAACTGCCAGGCATATATTAAACTGGAGATGTTGCTCCGCTTTATTGAGCAAGGGTCAGGTTCCGATGGTCAGCAGGGCTGTTCTGGGCCCTGTGTGATCAGCTCGCCACTAGTACTTGACAAGCCGTGTGTGCGCTCATAGACACGGACATAGAGAGAAGCTGTGTCACCCACAATGTACTCACTGAAGCCTCGCGAAGTAACCCCGGTGTCAAGAGGCCACACTTCCTGAAGATGATGTTCCAGCTGTGTTTTAGACAATGGATCGCCTCTACCACTCTGCTGTGCTCCGTTTATGGTGATGAAGAAAGTCAAAGCAGTGCAATGTGGATTTTTTTTGTTTTGTGTAAATTTAGGCATGGCCACAAAGGCCTGTTTCCTCTCTCTTAGAAAGGCAAATTGAGCTTGCAGAAAAATAATTAAACTCGCAGTATCTTGCAATAATTAGACATTGGAAACAGGGTGGGTTAATTACTTCAATCTGATTTCAGTCACCCAATAAAATGTTCAAGGACAGCATTCAGACAGTGGTCAAATTAATTTACAGTCTCAGCTTGTTCAATTGTTGCACCCCTTCTCCCTGCAGGATCATGCAGATCTGCGAAGCCATTTCTTCACAGTTGGGATGAAGCTAGAAACAGTGAACATGAGTGAGCCCTTCCACATCTGTCCTGCATCAGTGACTAAGGTGAGTGTCCCTCTCTGGCTCTGCATCCCAACCTCCACAGTGGATCGAATAACTCTTTCTTTGCAAAGCCAACCAGATGAAATGCGTTTGCACAAGGATATGCTATAGTTCCAAGGAAACCTAAGTCGGACTGCCTTCTTTCCCATCCAGTGTTACTTGAAGCTCTCTCTTTATTACTGGTAGCATAGAGTGAGTCTGAGCAAAGGTCCCCTCATGTAATGGTTGGGTGAGTTTCACTTGTCTTCTGATAGTACAATATGAGAACACTCGAATCCGTGAGTGACTTGGTGAAAGGTTAGAGATGCATGGCTGTGAACTTGCACCTCCTGAACTGATAGTATTTAATATGATCGATCTGTTTATATTTCGAAAATGCCTGCAAATGGTGAAAAGCAAATTTCCATTGCATTTCGATTTCCTTTTAATCACCTGCTTTCATTGATAAAGGCAATGTCATGCTTCTGAGATGTGCAAATTTAAAATGAAATTGCTTTTTCATGTAAAGACATTTTAATTGTGGTCTGATAGGCTTTTAAGATTATAATTTTCCTTCTCCATCAAAGATATCTCAATGAAGTCTATGGTAGCATCTAAAGTGTGTATTTCTACCTTAATTATCTCCTATAAATGATGGAAGAAACCAACAAACTTAGAACTCTTTTTTTTAAGCTTTTAAAAAATTATTATTATTATTGGTTTCAGAGGGAGGAAGGAAGAGGGAGAGAAAGATAGAAACATCAATGATGAGAGAGAATCATCAGTTGGCTGCCTCCAGCATATTCTGTACTGGGGATCCAGTCTACAACCCAGGCATGTGCCCTGACCAGGAATCAAACTGTGACTTTCCGGTTCATGAGTCAACATTCAACCAGTGAGCCACACTGGCCCGGCTAACTTAGCACTCTTAAGCCATTGTCTGTTTTAGTTAATGGCCTTTTATGCATTTTCTAGGGAAGGTAATTAATGGTTCAAAAGTCAATTTCATGGATTCAAATGAAGGTATCATGGTGCCCACTAATGTAATATTTAATGTTTTAATTCCTTGTGGGCATAATGTTTTAGTCTAAACAAATGGCTCTGCAGATAAATCCCAACAAGCTTTGCTAATTACAAGCCGAATAAATTATTTATATTTTAAAAACTTTAGTTTTTTATATCTATAATACTAGTATACCGTAGATATTATACCGCCCAGTTTATGTCATTGAGAGAGGTGAGGAATCATGCATGAAGTGCCTGGCACAGTACTTGGCACATGTGAATGCTCAGTACAATATCAGCTATGTTCGCCCAAACCTTTGGTCCCATTTATGGGTACTATGTTATCACAGTTATCTCCCGAGAAGGAAGCATGCCACAGGCATCCGGGGATCTAACTGCTGATCAGACTGTGTTTGGTTCCTGTGGAGAAATGGTCTATCTTACCCTTGTTATCTGACCCTTGTTAGCTGGTGAAATTGAAGCCTGATTGTTTTAGAACTGAATTTTAAGTTTGTTTATTATAAAGTGTGGTGGTGGTTAATGTAAGATACAAATCACCAGGTCTAGCAAGGGCCAACCCTACAACTGGAGTCAGAAGTCCAGTGAATCACTGAGCACACTTTATTTTCAACATACCCATTGACGAGAAATGGAAGCTTTCATTTCCCCTTTAAAGCCATGCACATTGCTGAGTTTTCCACCTGCCCCCTATGCATACATAACTTTTGAAATGAAAATACTACTGTGTGAAGTGGATGATCAAGGTAGACCACAGCTGATTGTCACCACAGTGGGTTGGGATGTCAGCCATTCTTAAGATAAAATGAACTCTTTCAAGATCCAACAGAATACCTCTAATTTTACATTTGCTCTTTTTTTTGGAAACATTACCAACTGCTGTTCAGACTGTTTTGTTCCTGTGGAGAAATGGTCTATCTTGAAATTGGTGATCCAAGAAGAAGAGAGAAGAAATTTGTATTTTGATTTCAAAGTATTTGAAAAATCTGATAGTTTATCTACTATTGGCTTTTGTAATTTTTATTGTAGGCATTGCTTTGTGTGCATTTTTCCCCCTGAGAGTCTTGATCCATGCAGCACTTTTCCAAAGAAATAGTTTCATAATTAATATGAAGAAATCAATTGGGTCTATTTATTCTTTCTCTCCTTATTACAAGAACTGGAGACCGAGTGCACAAAATTTGTGCACAGGGGAGGGAAAAGGGGGGGTCCCTCAGCCCAGCCTGCACCCTCTCCAATCTGGGACCCCTTGAGGGATGTCCGACTGCCCGTTTAGGCTCAATCCTACCTGGATAGGGCCTAACGTGCAGTCAGATATCCCTCTCACAATCCAGGACTCTTGGCTCCCAACTGCTCACCTGCCTACCTTCCTGATTGCCCCTAACCACTTCAGCCTGTCAGCCTGATCACCCCCTAACCACTCCCCTGCCAGCCTAGTTAATGCCTAACTGCTTCCCTGCCAGCCTGTTTGCCCCTAAATGCCATCCCCTGCAAGCATGGTCCCTCCTAACTGCTCTCCCCTGCAGGCCTGGGTTTCCCCCAATTGCCCCTCCCTGCAGGCTTGATCGCCCCCAACTGCCCTCCCTTGCAGGCCTGGTCAATTTGCATATTATTCTTTTATTAGATAGCATATATTTAACTTTTGAAATAAAAACAAAGAAGTTTCTTTGATGTTATTTCACATTGGCAGAATGTCTCAGTTGTATTTGGGTACAATTAGATGTGTCCTCAGTAGCTCCTGTAACTGCCACACGCCTGAGGACCCATAAGAAAGTTGGAGCAGGACTTTACAACCTGAGAACAAACATATGAAATATGCGACACCAGATGCACAGTCCTAGGAAACCATTCTTCTGGTGTCAAAGATTGATTTCTGAACTTTAAAAGTTGAAGATACTAATAAAATGTTAATTTCTTTTTTTTCTGAACAAGACTGGATTTCTTAATGCAGTGACAAATGTTTTAATGTTACTTGAGTCGTGCTTTTTTAAATTTATGTTTTAGTAAAAGTCAAGAAATAGAGTGGTGACAGAGTATTACAGAATGTGGAAAACAGTTATGATAAGAAAATGTCTTTTTTTCCCCCCTTAAAAATATTTTCCTTTAAAAATCATTTTTATAACTGTTAAAGTAATTTATTTAAAGAATAACTACATATGAGAAAAATATTGACTTACGCTTTGAGTGATAATTTGAGGTTGAAATGTGTGCTATCATGTTTGTACACCATCCATTAAAAACCATTTCACTTGAAATGACCTTTGGGGTTCTTTCCTGTGTATTCTGGTTGTTGTACATTTGTAGAACACTAAAGAGTGATATCTTGTTGAAACCTGAACAGAATTTCTCTTTCTTTGATCAGCCGGTGATTTACTGATGCCAGCTGCTCATTTATCTGAATGTATATCTCCTTGTCCTCATTCTAAGAGGCTGTGGTGTCAGCTTCACTTGGAAAATTTTTTTTAAGCCAAACATAGATGCAAATGTGCTTAGCTTGTCAGGGGTAGACATTCACATTTTGATGGCTTTATGTAGTTGTATACGTGATGCTGGGATGTGACCTACTCATTATAATTAGTTCCCGCCGGAATATCTGCCTCTTGTTGCGTGGACTTCTAGGGGGCAGTTGTTTGGTTTCTACAGTAAAACAGTTTATTCCCTAAACAAATATTATCAGAGTTTGGGGGTGGGAGGATATTTTCTCTGATTCTTAAGATACATTTTCATTTTTATATTTCCTACTTTTTGTACCAAAGATAAAATACTTAAGTTATCCATTCTTATAGACCCCTCCTTCCCTATGCCCATGGGTTGTGTAATGCATGATTCATGTACGTGTAACAAAGTATCAGAATAATCTCCACGCAGAAGGTATTTATAAATAAATACGTTTCTGTTAACACTGGAGGATGTTTTAGAATACTAAGTTTGAGAATAGAATGTATTGTGCCGCTATTAGTCATCATAATGAAATTTTCATTTTTATTTTCTTTGGGGCTTTTCTTGGTGGCACAACTGTTGAAGAAATAAATAATGTTAAAGCGAACAGACGGATGAGCATGTAGCAGATCCAGGATTAAATACCCAACCTTTAGCAGCACAGTGGGATTTTTATTTGTGGTGTTCCATAACAGTGAGCTAGTGACCAATGATGGTGGTGATGACAATATCATCTGCAATGTGAAATGTATTGCATTGTTTAGAGCAAAAGACACTGGAATTAAAGTCTTGGGCTCTGTTTCTATTTGCTAGCTCTGAGCTGCACAGTCTTGGGCAAGTTGGTTAACCTGTATAGGATTTAGTTTAAGACCTGTGTGTTGACCAGAAGGCCCAGTGTTTCTGAACCGTTTAGCTTCTCTCTAAGTAATAAGTAAGCAAATGTAGTATGTTAAGGGCTAAATGAAAAGGAGAAAGATGCACCAGGAAAGGAACTAATGGAGTGTTGGTGGAGGGAGGGAAGATGTGATTTTAAGTTGGGTTGTCAGGGAAGCTTCCTCCCTCCCCCAGCCGGGAAGATCACCTTTTTTTTTTTTTTTTTTTTTTTTTTTTTTTTGATCCTTTGCAAATCTCAGGCAACAGAATTCTAATTATTTGCTGGAATTAACATCAAGAAGAAGTAAAGTGAGTTTCTTCTCCTATTTATCTTTGAAGTAGGTTTCTTCCAAAAAATATATATATATTTAAATATATTTTATTGATTTTGTACAGAGAGGAAGGGAGAGAGATAGAGAGTTAGAAACATCGATGAGAGTCATCGATCAGCTGCCTCTTGCACACCCCCTACTGGGGATGTGCCCGCAACCAAGCTACATGCCCTTGACCAGAATAAAACCCGGGACCCTTCAGTCCCCAAGCCTGGTAGCATAGAGCTATGCTATCCATTGAGCCAAACCGGTCTCGGCCCAAAAAATATTTTTTAAATGAAGGAGCCAGGAATCATAGCTTAGGGAGAGTGTCAAGGTTTCCGAGGGTTTTCTTTTGAGTTGGGAAAGTACTCTTTTTATTTTCTTCTGGTCTGTTTTACATACTTGGTTCTCTAGAGCCATCATGCTTTTGACTGTTGGGGCTCACCTGTTTTTTTGCTCCTTCTTTTGTCATCATCATGCTCTGTTCCTATTTTTTCATGGACTTCTTTTTCCCCTTATATCCAGTGGATGATCAGCCAGTTTCTGCACACAGAGTATTTTCTCTGCATGGTGAGAGTACCTTCATGAGGAATGAAGAGGTCACAGTCCTCAAAGCACTTGGGATCTGCTGGGGTAGACAGATGTGATATCAGTCCATGGGGGGAGGGGTAAGGGGGGGGGAGGATGTTCAGTATAGAGATACAAGCCTGATGATTTGGGGGCGCAGAGCAGGGGTATTTTATTCCAACTGAGTGACTGGGAAAAATGTTCCAGCTGCATTGACTTTCAGGTTGGACCTTTTAAAATGCACTGTGGTTTGATAGACTGACAAGGGAGTGCACTGTTAGACTGTGAGAACGCTAAGGACAGGCCTGGTGTGAATGATTTTCTCTTGGGCTAGAGGGTTGGGCATTTGGGCGAACACAAGATGAGTGATCCATGAGACTTAGATGCGGCTAGAAATCTTCAGGCCAGACCTTGGAGCGTTCTTGAATGACCTGGTGTGAGAACTTGTGTCCCTGCCGTGGACACGGAGAAACCAATTAGACCTTCCAGTGCCCGGCTGGCTCTCCCCTCCGCCAGGGTTAGTCTGTTTCACACCAGCAGTTTGTTTATCTTTCAGCGATGGCTATTGCTTTACGTTCTATTTTCTGTCTCCAATACATTCCACTGACTCGTTTACTTTTCATTCATATGACCACAGTGATCAACTCTAACTTTTTTAGCAACTGGATCAATTCAGTAATACACATTGACATGCCAGTTTGTGGTCAAACCATTTTTGATGAAATACACTGATTGCGTTTGGAAGCGGTGCCAGTATTTCATGACTAGTCTTGCATGGAATCCCAAGGAACTAACCATTGGCTGTCTTGGTTTTCTCTTTCAGGTTTTTAACAATCATTTTTTTCAAGTGACTATTGACGACCTGAGACCAGAACCTAGTAAACTCTCAATGCTGTGCCATGCGGATTCCTTGGGGATTTTACCAGTACAGTGGTGCCTTAAAAATGGAGTCAATCTCACACCTCCCAAAGGTTTGTATTCTGTGGAACCGTGCAGGGTTTGAGTGATCTAGGAGGGTGTCGTTGTTTATCTAGAGAAATTTACGTTGTAAACAATTTAGAAGGAGTGGAAAAAGAAGGTCTTTCATGCTTGGCTTGACATAGGGGTCTGTACAGATTCCTTCCCTGGTGGGAAGTGTGACCTTGGGCTTCTCAGTCCACTTCTGTAAATCAAAGTTCCGGGTGAGTGATTGAATGATCGGTGGTTCTGCTGCTCTTGTGTACCGATAGAGGGTAAGTGTTGCTAAGTGATTGAGGTTAAAAACTGCAGAGTGTCCATGAAGTGGCTTTATAAAGACAATAAAATGCTATTGAAGCATTTCTTTGCATTATATTTACAATGAATCATATTTTCCTTAGAGCCCAGTTGCTCCCAGATATCCAACAATTTGATGCTATAATATATAATATATGTGTATGTATGTATATATATATATATATATATATATATATATATATATATATATTAGCCTAAGGGACTGTTTGACTGTTCAACCAGTAGCTATGGAATGCACTGACCACTAGGGGACAGGCATGGAAGCATGGAACAGACTGATGAATCTCAGAGGGAATTGGGGAGGGGAGGGAGGGAAGAGATTAAGCAAAGATCTTATATGCATACTAGAGGTCTGGGGCACATACTTGGGGTCCCTTAGCCTGGCCTGTGGGGATTGGGCCTAATCCATGCACTGGGCCTTTGACATCCCCTGAGGGGTCCCAGATTATGAGAGGGTGCAGGCCAGGTTGAGGGACTGCACTGGACCTCTAGTGTTAACATAATTAAATTGGGATCCAGGTTACTCTAAAATATTTTTTACATTGGGATTCATGCACCACGCTGTAAGTTTAGTTAACTTGGTGTGCTGTCCCTTATAGGTCTAAGGTTTATTCAAGGAACAAAGCAGTAAGACAAAAGGAGAGAAGATAGGGAGAAAATAAATGGAATAATAGAAGAGAAAATGAGAAGACAGTAGAAAAGTAAATTTATGGAGAGATTATAACAGATAACTACAAATAATACCAGGGTTTTGTGCTAACCCTTCCAGCTCACCAGCATCCGGTTTACATGCAGTGCTGACCACATTGGGAGGTAATTAATGCCCACAGGTTGAGTTCCAGGTTTCCTGGTGGCCATCATACACCACGTACCACCTTTCATTGTGCACACCCAGCTCACCCATGGCGTGCCTGTACTCCACTGGCATGAATATACTTGGATATTTTTAAGCTTTTATCCTCGTTGTTCATCCCTGCTCATTCCCATGGAGGACTGCTTTTGAGTATTTCCACTTAGGTCCTGCAGTAATGCAATGTGGTCTAATTATAGAGTACCATGAACTTCTGCTTAACAGTGTTTATACTATTTTAAGTGCTTAACTCATTTAATCCTCAAAGCGAGGATTTCCCTGTGAGGTAAATTAGTCACACATAGACAGTCACAGGGCAGGGGGTTTGGCTCCGGATCCTGCTCCCCATCGCAGTGAGAACTCCAGTTCACAAGGCCCAGGTTCTTGCTTGCATTTGGGCACTCACCAAAGACTGGCCAGGTCCCTGTGCCTCAGCTTTCAGGACTGTCAAAGGGGGACATGCCTGGTATTCCACAGGCGCACAGAATCAAAGAAATGACAAAAGTCTAAGTGTTTTTATAGTCCCTTAAAATGACTATACAGCTACTTATGATAAAATATATATTGGTGGTAGATAATTCAAGGCCTTTCCTGCTGTGAAATGTTAGCACTAGGTCACTTGTGGAGTTCGAAGGCCCCTTGGGCCACTGTTGCTTCCTTGTAACCGCTCTAATCAAACCATGGGCATGGATGGATTTCATGCCATTGACGGAAGTTTTTTTCTTAGATCTCTAAAATCCTTCTTAGTTGGACTTTGCAGATGTCTGGTTAGTAATAAGATCTATTTAAGAATTTTAAAACATTGGTTGGCTATTTCCTTACATAATGAAAAAAAGGGAAGTATTAATATAATACATGCATTTTGTCTGCTTGGTTATTTCATTATGGCAGAGGTTTAATGTTTACCAGAATTTCTAAATATGCTTCTTATGAATTATAACTCTTAAAATGTGTTTTTTAGAAAAGTGATTGTAGCCATAGCTTAAATATTTACTAGGAAAATGTATGTGTTTATTTGGATGATTGCATTTCACGATATTAAGAAAATAGTTTTAGATTAGTGTACTGAACTAATGTGTAATGAAATGACTATTCAAATGTATTTAGAATATTGAGTGTTTTAATATATTAAGCTTTTAAACCTAACATTTAGCCACATTTATTATTTCTTCTCTGTCACCCAAGTATTTGTGATATAAGATGAAATGAAACTATCTTTATGTAGTTTTCCAAATGATTTTTTCCCCTGTTAAAAATGAAGGGTGCCTTTTGAAAAATCACACACACACAAAAGAAAATTTCTTCATGAATGTTGTTGTGGAATATTGAGTATGGTGATTAATATCTTCTAATAAGAAATTTTCATGATAAGCCTTTAAAAAAAAAACCCCACTTAAAACACTTAAGAAGTGATCAGTATCATTAGTCAGGGATCCACTGGTAATCTATAGGGGTTGTGTTTTGGCTACCAGACTGTTATCTTGAAATAGTACAGATTTTACTAATAAGCCAGTAAGAAAAAGACCAGCTTTCAGAATATCAACAGATAGTCCACAATTAAAAGAAACATAAGGACTCTTATTCAAACATATCAAAGTAAGAGAAATGTGAGTGAAAATCATATTGAGATGGCATGCATTTATAAAATGAGGTAGAAAACCAAAAGAGAAAGAAAAAAAATTTTGTTTTGATGAGTGTGTGGAGGAACAAGAATTCTCAGATTTGCTGGTGACAGTGCAGGTAGGTGCAAACTGTGTCCAAGGTATTTTGTCAAATTTTACTAAAATTATAAATGCATTTTACCCTTTGACTCAGCGGTTTTATTCCTGGAAATCTCTCCTGAAGATACACTATGCAGATAATATGCAAAAAAGTTTGTTCTTTGCAGCATGATAATGTAATAGCAAATATTGGAAAAAGTCCAAGTGCTTATCTGTATGGAATAAATAGATTTTAGATATCCATATAATGAAAACTATGCAATTGTTAAAAAGAATGAGGAAATCTCTGTGTACTGATATGAGAAGTGCTCCAAGATATGCTACAAGTGATAAAGATCAGTAGATTGTAGCCTGACACTTCTTGTTAGAAAAGAGGTAAAGAAAAACATTTGTTTGCTATGTAACTGTCAGGTTACTTAAGAAACTAGTAATGACAGTTTTACTTCCTCCTTTCCAATTTGGATGCTTTTTATTTTCTTCTTGTCTGATTGATGTGGCTAGGACTTCTAGTACTATGTTGAATAAGAATGGTGAAAGCTGACATCCCTGTCTTATTCCTCTTTTTAGGAAAATGATTTTAGTTTTGCCCATTGATTATGATGTTGGCTGTAGGTTTGTCATATAGGGCCTTCATTATGTTGAGGCATGATCCCTCTCTTCCTACTTTGCTGAGAGTTTTTATTAAAAATGGGTGTTCGATTTTGTGAAATGCCTTTTCTATGTCTATTGATATGATGTGATTTTTGTCTTTCAATTTATTTTTGTGGTGTATCACATTTATTAATTTGTGAATATTGTACCAGCTTTGCATCCCTAGGATAAATCCCACTTGATCACTTATGGAATCTAAAGAACAAAATAAACTGACAAAACAAAACAGATCTAGAGACATGGAAACATCTAACAGACTGAGGAATCTCAGAGGAGAGGGAGAGGGCGGGAAGATATTAACCAAAGAATTTATATGCATATATGCAATACCCATGGATAGACAATAGTGCAATGAAGGCCTGGGGAGGAGGTGGGAGTAAAGAGGAGAGGGGTTATTGGGGGGGGAGAGAAGCATCTGTAATACTTTCAACAATAAATATAAAATTAAAAAAATAGTATATGAAGCTAAACACAAAAAGGAACTAATAAAAATGAGAATTCTGAATGGAGGTTCCAAGTTATAAAGGTGGCGAGCAGGACAGATGGAAGTGAGGGTATGATGAGACTCTGAAACTAGTAATGACAGAATACTTTTAAGAGTATTTTTATTTTTGATCTAACATAATGTATTATGTATTAAAAATAAACCTATTATTAAGAGTAGAGAGTTTTTATAACTAAAAGGGATCTTAAAGATGATTTCATCAGCTTTAATCATTTTACTTGTGGGTAAATTGAAGCTCTGGTGTAAATTTTTCAAGTACTGAGGCAGAAGTACTGGCTAAAAACCCTAGTCTTAAGAACCCAAATTGTGTGTGTGTGTGTGTGTGTGTGTGTGTGTGTGTGTGTGTGTGTGTGTGTGTGTGTTTATAACTGAATCCACCATTTACTCCTATTGTCTGTCACTGTTACATTCATAAAAGCCGTCCTCAAGAATGTAGGGCTATTGGGTGTCCTTAGAGAGGATTAGCTGATGTCAGTGGACCATGGCTCTTCTGTGACTGGAATTGTCTCTATGTCACAGCATTTGGAGAATTTCAGTTCTCAGGTATAATTTTCCAAGTGCTTGCAGATCTAACAAAGTCACAGCTTTACTTATTGAGCTCCCTTACCTTTTTGTGAGAGGGGAATGTGTTCATTTTTGTAATTAAAATGAAATACAGTTTAGAGGAGGAGGTGGGGATTTCCCTAATGCTGATTTGATTGTTTTCTTGTGAGGGAATTTGTTAATGTCTTTGGTAGTCACACCCGGGCTGGGAGTTATGTTGTAGAATTCTTTTAAAACACCATTCTTTGCTTTATTAATGTATGAAAGTATACACTGTCTTTGAACTAATTTTTTTATTTTTAACTTAAGTTCTGAACTTTATAAAGAGCGTATGTCTGATTTATTCTACATCCTGAGAGGTGTTTAGATGTGCTGTGTGTATGTTTTCCACAAGTGTAATATATTGTTTTGGTTTCCTATCCAGTC